AGGGAGGAAGAGCATGAGAAGAAGACTAACATTAAACAGGGACATGAGATGGGAGGGAAAGGGAAAGAAAAGGGAAATTGCATGGAAATAGAAGGAGACCCTCATTGTTATACAAAATTACATATAAGAGGAAGTGAGGGGAAAGGGAAATAAAGAACAAGGGGGAGAAACAACTAATAATAAAAATTTTAAAAAAAACAAAGTACATGTATGAAGACACGAATTAGTATTAACATACTTTATATAAAACCAGATATGAAAAATTGTGCTGTATATGTGTAATAAGAATTGTAATGCATTTCGCTGTCATTTATTTTTTTAAAAAATCAATAAAAAATAAAATGGACAAAAAAAATAAAATATCTGACTTCCATCACCCCTGATCAAAGGGGAACAAGAAATTATCTGTATTCGTTTTTCTTTGCTGTTATAACAAATTACCACAAACTTAGTGGCTTAAAATAACCCAAATTTGTTGTCCTATAAGTTTCAAGATCAGGAGTCTGAAATGAATTTTTTGGAATAAAAGTCCAGTGTTGGCATGGTAGCTACTTTCTGGAGGCTAGGGAGACTCTTTTTCTTTATCTTTGCTTCTACTGCTTTTGTGAACAAATGTTTTCTTTACCTTTATTGCCTCATTCTTATAAGAATTCATATAGTTAAATTACTGCTTAACTCGATAATAAAGATAATTTTTCATCTCAAGAATCTTAACTTGGGGCTGGGTTTGTGGCTCTATGGTAAAGCACTTACCTTGCATGTGTGAGGCATCGGGATCCATTCTCAGCACCACGTATAAACAAATATGTTTATATTTAAGTTTAAAATAAAATAAAGGTTCATCAGCAACTAAAAACAAATATTTAAGTTTTATGTATAAAAGAAATTTAACTTAGTCACGCCTACAAAATGTCTTTTGCCTGTAAGAAAATACTCACCAATTCTGGGAATTAAGATTGGAATATCTCTGCGAGACCATTATCCAGTCCACTGTACATATAGGTTGTGTCAGATTCCTAATTATTCATAGGATTTGACCAGGTAGTTTTGTAATGAGAGTATCAGTCCAAAACCAAGCAATCATAATGAAATATGAGGACTCTTAGTATCTTTAGGAACTTCTAAAAATCAAGAGTCTAGGTCACTGGAAAACTTCTTTGGATTTTGCTTAATGTGTACAAACTTTGCAAAAACAATATTTTCCCCATATTGAATTAAAATAACTGGGATTGAAAAGGAAATACTTTGTAACAACATGTGCATTTAATAAGAAATGTACAAAGGAAATTATATTTATCTACATTAAGTGTGCAAGAACATTAAAGTATCTTCAGTGCTTTAGCTTGCAACTCTAGTTCTTGACAAAGTATAGAAATAAAGTTTAAGCTAAATAACGGTTTTGAAAGTTTAGATATTGAGCTAGGAACTTGGAGGAGAGAAAAGGATGCTCACCTTAAATAACAAATCCTTCTTCCCATAACGAAGTTCCTTTAGTTGGGCTTGGATCTTTTTTGACTGTAAAAGCAGAAACATAGATTAGTACCTAAATTCACTTATATTTCCAAGCTTATAGATACACATTTTTTCAGACTGCATAAGAGTAAATTTGTACTGAAGCAAAATAGAACTCCACTACTTTGGAAATAAAAAAAAGAACACTTAAACTCTGCTTTGGGCATCAAACATTCCAACATCTGAGACTGGAAGAGAAAAGTCAGAGCCTATTTTTAAAAAGTCTTATTTTTAAGAAAAGATATTACTTAAAGAATTTTACTTATTGCTCTTCCCCACTCTTTAACCAAATACACAAAATTTCTGTCACCAAGGCATTGCTGAAAATATAATTTTAGATGTTAAATATATTTGTGTATGTGCGTGCCTCAGTTGTCACGGTTTATATAAAATGACTTATTTTTACATATCAACTATAACAAAATTTAAATTGAAGAGCATGTTTAAATTTTACACTTTTCTAATGGAGAAGGCATTAAGCAAATATTACTGGAGGTAATATACTTAGGAAGAAGATTACTTAGGAAGAAGATATATTTGACTACAACACTAAATTATGTTCTAAGACATAGATGATGAGCATGCTTTCCAAAATTTTCAGAAGAGATTTAGTTTCCAACATTTTAATATAAGGACCTCAGTTTACTGTATTTTTATACCTTAGATTTTGGGTCCTGATATTTTATTCAGGAGAAACACACACACACACATACACACATGCACACACACACACACACACACGCACATGCACAAGCACACGTTTATCATGGTCACAAGAAGAAAAATAATAATAATTAAATATACTAGTTGATTTTTTGCTTCTTCAGCACATATACTAAAATTATAACAATACAGGCAGGGAGAGGTAGAGAGGAAGAAACAAAGGAAAGAATGTGAGAAGGAAGAAAGGAAAGAAGAAAGAAAAGAGTTTTAAGAGTTTGACATATTAACAACTCTGTACTACAACTCTAAACAAGGAAACAACAGGAATTTGTAATTTCTTATAAGATTGTTAATGTTTTCTCATTTCTATAAAAATTCACTCTTTTTTTCATGATAGGAGTACTGAAGTGCATGGAACATAAGAAAATAAAAAAGATGTCATTATGTGTCTATATTTACTAATATTTTATTCAGAATTTAAAATTTTACTTGAGCCACCAGCCCTTTAAATTAATAAATTTACTTCAAAATTAACAATTGCTACAACTTTGCCCATCCCCCAATTTTCACTAGTGTCCCAAAATAATGATGTTTTAGACATCGCATCTCTGTTTCTTATTAGTTTTCTAAGATAATCCTTAATTTCCTGGCTGTTATGTTGTGCTACTCATTTCAGTAAAAGATAATTTCTATTAGGTTTCACAAATTGAATGCAAAGTTGATTGACATTTTGCCCCTTTTGTCACAGTCTAGTGTCTAGAACCCATTTACACCCAGGCTGGATAGTCTCTTACGAAAATATACTTTTTTCCTAATTAGTGTTGACAAATATCAATGGGAAATGGGAGCTTGTTACTACATCCTGTGTAGGTGATGTGCCCAACTCCTTTTCTAGTCTTCTACTTAGTTGGTGCTCTTTCAGGTATCAGAAAGAAATCATATTATGTCATTTGGGCTACTATTTTTTAATGAATATTTATGCTGAATAAAGAGAATATATATATATATTTAAATTTTTAATCACTATGAAAACATCAATTATTGAATTATGTAATGATTCATTCATTAACTACAACAAAACTCAGATGATATTTTTCTTCAGTTAGCAACCGCAACGTGGGAGATTTCTTAAGCTTTGTTATAAAAATAACCTTCAAAAGTTGTTCTTGCGGTCTCTCCTCTCTTCTATCAATTTTCTAATATTTAGTGAATTAACATTTAGTGAATTAGTTAAGCAAATCTGTTCTGAGCATTTGATGATGAATTATGAAACAATAAATTTTGATTAAGCATATCTCTTTTGTAATGTAAATCAATAGGAAGCACAATTGACATATTGGCTATATTGTTAAGAAGATTTTGAAAAATTAAAGTCATCAAAAGAATAAACTTTATATACTTGAGAAATTACTATATTTAGGATTTTGATAATGTTCTTTTTAATTACAAAATAAAATGTAAATGTAATTTTAAATGTTGTGTGTGGATAAAGAGTTTTTGTTTATTTGCTTGTTTGTGAAGGTATATTCTCACCTTGGAGAGAAAAGAAATCCAAATTTTGACTAGGCATGTGACCACTCTCATAACATTTTTCAATATCCCTTCAACTTGGCTAGGCATGTGACCTAGTTCTGGCCAAAAGGGTATATGATCATGGACAATTTCCTCCTTAGAGTACCAAAGAGCAGTGCTTATGTTCCACCTGAAATCTTCCCTTCATCTCTCTCAGAAAGATAATGACTGGAAAGGTGTTTTGGGCCCAGGAATGGTAGCTCTGGTTCCATGTTTAGAAGATGGTAGATCTGTGTGAAGCGCTCTCTGCCTTATTTCTACACAACAGTGGAAAATGAATGTGTAAACATGCATGTGTAAACCTTTGCTCTTATTCTTCCTAAGACCCTTCCTTCCCAACTCTTGGACAGGTATTAGGTCTTCATTGTGGTGTGAAAAAGTTTCTCATACCTGTTCCTTATCAATTAAAGGCTTTTCATGGAATAAATCTCTGCTACAATTACTCCTTTCTGTGTGTGCTTCTTGCAGGATACAAGTAACACAATGAACTCCGTCTCCTCACCTTGAGGAATAAAAGATCACTTCCAAAACTATCATTACTATTTTATTGCTCACATTAAAAAATATTTAATATGAACTACATTCCTACATTAAACACAGGATCATAGAAAGATCTGAAGATGAGAGGTGAAAGAAGTTAATTATTTTAGGTAAGCCTGGATGAATCAGAATGACTTTTTCTTCTCTGAGAAATGAATGAGACAATTTTGCTGCACAGCAAACAGAAACAAAGAATGGATTCGTTTTACAAAGTTTAGGATCATTACCAGCATCTTCATTCTGACAATCAATCATCAGTACAAAACTTTGTAGAACTCAGGTAGACAATACAAAAAAAAAAAAAAAAAAAGGAAAATTGAAAATTGATTAACTTCTTCGAATTTTCTATTAAGGAAGTTCTGATAATAGAGTTAAGGGAAGAATCTAGGATATCACCCCAATGAAAGCAACATTTAGCTAACTTTCTTAGTTTTTTCTTTAGCTGTAAAATGTTAAAACATTCAAAGATACAGAAAAACTTAAAATGTGTTTTATTATTCTATTCCAAAGTTTGATTTGTGTTAGGAAAAATAAATAATCATTGTCTAGATTAAAAAAATATATATTGGCCATGGATATTGTTTTTCTCCAGTTGAAGCTAGAAGAAAATTTACTCACCTCTTCTGCATGGATCCCACACAGCTTGCTTCCTGACAAAAGTTTGTTTTTCAAGCTTTTATTCTGAGGAAAGAAAAATGGTTTTATGCTCAAAAGTAATAAGATACTAAGAATTTCCTTAGTTTTACCAACAACATTAAGTTTAGTTCATAGGCTAGATCTTCGTGATATAYAGAATTTGTAAAAAGTTGAATTAAATCTGTAATGTAAAATAGAGTTCTTTTTATTTAAACAAAAATTTTATGTACTAGCATTAACACATTCATTTAAAAAGATAAAACTACTTATCCTCTCATTTATTTTTATTTTATTATAGTTATGTTTATGATTTTCTAAAGTAATATATAGTTATGTTTATGATTTTCTAAAGTAATATCAGTTACAAATCAGTAATGCATGGTGGTTTCTTTTTTTTTTTTTTGATTCAAGTCCATTTTTTTTTTTTTTTTAAAGCACCATTTGAAGTACAGGCATTTATTCCTGCTGCCATCTCTGCTGGTCATCTTGTATGCTATCATAGTCTTCATTCCCTCTGACAGTCATAGGTTTAGATTTCTCTACATCCCTTATCTCTGGACATTGCTCTTAAAGGTCTCTTTCAGAAGCATTTTATACCCAGCCTTAGAGGTGTGCTTTCTCTGTTGAGTGTAAGTACAGACAGATCTGTTAACCCATTTAAGTTTCCCATAATTGGTGCAGGTTAATAGGAAAAAAGCTTGTTGTCTAATACTACTTCTTAATCATCCGAATACACACACACACACACACACACACACACACACACACACATACACACACACACACACATACACACACATATAATATATATAAATTTATATATATAATATATATATATATTTATACACATAAAATATATATATATTTATATATATATATATTTTTATATATATATTTTTTTTTTCCTTTTTGGTTCTGGGGATAAAATCCAGGGTCAGGAGAATGCTAGAGAAGGTCTCTACAATGGAGATACCTACATTCTCAGCCCTACAACTGTAGATATTTATTTATGTCTCTTACACACAGATTTTTCTGTCTTTTGCCCCAGTAACTGAGGAACAAAGACCAGATGGTCAAACTAACACACACACACACACACACACACACACACACACACAAAGACAAAAAAAACCCAGAAATTTGAAAAGCACACAGAATTTAGATCTCATAATGACTCCAATGGGTAAAGTAGTGAAATGGGAAAGCATGCTTTTTTTTTTTTAACATAATACATAATGACTCTAAAGATGCTCAATTTGATGAGTAGCTTGAGCAAATTGTACAAAATCAAATGTAGACTGAACAAACAAATGAATGGGCACATTAAATTTAAGAGATCTCCACCATAAATCCCATGTGATCATTTTGGTTTTCTTCCATTAAATTTTCAAAATTTTAATTTATTCTTTTAATGGTACAATATGACTATATAAAAAAGTAGGATTTGTTGTGACATACTTGTATATGCACATAATTTGGTCAATTTTATTTCTTATATGATTTCAAACATTGTTTCCTATTTTGTTTCCCTTTTATGCTTTAACAGAGTGCAGATGTCCCGTTTGAAAGTTTGTTTACTTTCCTCTGTAGTTAATTGTTGAAATTCTGGACAGCTCATTTAGAATTTTAGTACAGTGAAATATTTTACATAAACAAGGAGAGCGTTACCTTGATTCATTCAGGTGATATTCTTTGGGGAATAACTGTACTTATACAATGATGCATAAGATTAATGTTTGTGAGGAGAATCTAATGTACATTATTCCTACATTTAGAAATATGACAATAAAAGGCTATATGCCGCTATATTCTAACTCTCTAATGTTGCTTCAATTGTAGAGCAAACCAGATCTCTTTAGGACTGAGATAAGTACAAATAGTAGGATGACTTATGTACCAAAACAAAGAACCCACACCTCAGTGGCTTTATTAGATATGAGAAATGACTACAAATTAATGTATTTAAACAATAATGTATTTAAACATTGGTCTCTGTACTCTATACTACTTAAAATTTGAAACTCCACTTAAGATTAATTTGTCCTTTCTTCTTTATTTTTCTTCTCCCTCTGTGTCTGAAAAAGAGGATTCTGCAGTAGAATCTGAATATTGATTTGAATAGTGAAGATCATTATACATACTAATTTCAATTCTTTAAAAATGATATAGATTGATATTTGCCTGAGAAACAAATATGCATTTTAAAAATGATAGACTATAAATCACCAGTTTTCAAGATGTTATTTATCATTTATCTCTGATTATATGATTTAATTCTAAAAATAAATGGTTCTTTTTTTTTTCCTTGTGGTGCTGGGGATTGAACCCAAGGCCTTGTGCATGCAAGGCAAGCACTATACCAACTGAGCTATATCCCTAGCGCTAGACCATTCTTTATTGGTTTGGAACAGTTTTTTTTCAGTAAAATGAATATGTGTCTCCCACATTTATAGATTCATAAACAGTGCTAAGCATCCTACAGAATTTACAAGGTTTTCCCTGTGCCACTAAGATGATCAAGTATTGATATTGTGGCAATATGGGTTGAACAAAATTAAACAGATTTATTTTCTGTGAAATTCTTAGAGCCTTTATTATAATATTGTTTATGGTAAAAAAAATGTTTTTTCTATAATTTTTTAACAGTGGGTTGTTTTTTACTAAAGCATTTATCTTTCACTAGAATTCAAGGAATATTATTATAAATATTAACAGATGTTAGGTATTAATTAAGGAGGCAAAAAGAATCACAGTAATATATTTTGTTGGAATTTAGGTCATTGTTTTTTTTTATTTTTATAATGTTCAAGAAAAAAATTTTAAACATATATTACAATGGTTAAAAGAAGATTTTTTTCAGAATTTTTGTAATAAGTGTCGAGAGTTTTAAAATAAAAAGGAAAGATGGGACTCGACTCCTAATACAGCAAAGACAGCTGAAAATGCAGTCAATAAACAGAATTAGGAGGGTCAGGGGATGGGAATTTTTCACTAGGAGCCATTACCCTGGATAGGAGGTTATTGCTAAACAAACTTCACAGGATTCTTGGTGAAGGCACAATATTAAGAGTAGGGATGAAGAATTAGGTTGCATTCAAATATCATGGGTGAGAGATCTCCCTAAATTGATTTAGCAGAATTCCTACTACAACTGGACTAGGCAGACCAAAGACAAGGCTCAGTCTAATAAGAAGGTTCAAAGGAATCAGTGTTAGGTTTAATTGAAGAGTCTTGGTAGAGTTTTCATTTTGTATCTAAAAAATCTGCTCACCTTAAAGTCCAAAAGAATTTTACTTAAACATTTCCCTAGAATTGTTAGTTCTTGATTATGCACTTATGTGTAATCTTCATTAAGTTAACCTGCTCCTTTAAACACAGGTTTCCAGGTACTTGAACACCAGCTGGTGAAGGGACTCTTCTTTGTGTACTGACATATCTAAGAGCCTTTTACAAAAATCAGTTGAGCAAATAACTTCTTGGGCCGTTATGGAACATTAGGCAACAGACCTTCCTTCTTGCCATGAACAAGTACACAACCAGATCAAATATACTAAGCAAATGTTTTCAGACATGACAACAACTGTCAGATCATGGTCCCAGAAAGAGTAGCAAAAAGTTAAAGAACTTTGTGATCTCTGCTTTTCTATCTAGAGGCAATTTATGAGTTATAATGCAAAAGAAAAAGCCAGAAAGAATACATAAGTTTTGATAAATATTGAGAAGTGTTTGACATTAGAAGAAGTTTGTCAGGAAGAATTTGTGTGACAATGTACCAGAGTGTTGGTATCAATGTAGAAAAAGAACTTCAGATTTTTAGTGGGTCCCTTTATTCCTTTATATGAATGGAAAATTGCATTTGTATAAAGTGACCTGCAACAACAACAGTTAAGAACCAGTAGGAAGGAACTGCAAGGTGAAAAATCGTTAGCACTTATATGAACATTCAATTTCCAATCAGTCAAAATCAAAAGACTTAACAACTAAGGTGTTTAGTAAAGAACTCAGAAGGGACTGACTTACAAATAGAGCTAAAATTAATTTAGGGAGCAGGGACAGGGAAAAGTGAGGGAAAGAGCAAGTACTGAGAATGCAAATGGAGTAAATTACATTCCATACATGTATGATTATATCAAAATGAAGCCCACTATTATGTATAACTATAATGGATTAACAAAAACTCATTTAGATCAATCTTACATAGTTTTAAAATAAGGTTCAAAATAACCACATTCAAAAAGTGCTATTCAGGGCTGTGATTGTGGCTCAGCAGTAGAGCACTTGCTTAACACAGGCAGGACCTGAGTTCGATCCTCATCACCACATAAAAATAAAGGCATTGTATTGTGTCCATCTACACCTAAAAAATAAATGTTAAAAAAGTGCTATTCAGTGAAATAAAATTTAAACATAGAAGAAATAAAGTTCAGATACTCAAAAAAGTTATATTTACAATTCAGTATTCACTGAAGATGGTGAGACACAAAAAGAAGTAGAAAATGAGATCTTCAAAACACAGGCAAAAAAAAAATGTCAGTATAAAACATTATTATGTGTAAAGAAACATAATGTCATTGATTTAATATAGCATTATATTATGCTATGTTATATTGTATTTTATTATGAAAATTATTATGTTATATTGTATTTTATTATGTTATGTTATGTTATGTTATATTTTATTATTTGGACCATGATTCTTTAAGACACAATCCTAAACACAATATTACCAAATGTTGAAATCCTGACAGATCAAAATCCTTGAAGTTCAAAACTCCTAAACTATAAAAGTTCCAGAAATATTATTCTGGTAAAAACAGTTTAAGTTCTTTATAGATAATTAATTCGTATTTATAAAACATATTTATTTGTCAAACACAYAGAAACAGAGTGAAACACCTCACAGGCCATTTTACACAATATAAAAGGAAATGATAACACACATATTTTTCACTCATAAACAGCAGGTATTCTACCAGTTATGAGCAGATGAACCACATTCACAAATTAGGTCAGAAACTGAACTGTATAACTGCATAACAATATGG